CCATATTCAGAACCAAACGCAAATTCTTCGAGATAACTACCATGCATCGTCTGGCTCGCCGTGGCGGTGTCTGACGTATCTCCGGTCTGATTTACGAGGTGTGCTGAAGGTGTACCTCAAAAATGAGATCCGTCATGCTGTCACCTTCACTAAACACGCCAAGCGTAAGCGGCCATGGGTGCCATCTACGTTTTGAAGTGACAGAGACGCACTCTGTTTGGTTTCGGAGGTTAATTCATCACCAACTTTGGCAACAAAACGGTTCTTTTCAGGGCCACCAAGCTTATTACAGTAAAGAGTAGGAATAGAATTCATATGCCTGTTTGTCCAGATTCAGAACCAACGACCACACAAAATGGTCATGCAATCAAACTGGAAGCATGGGTACACATTATTTTGATCAACCTTGATTAACTTTGAATCGCCACGGCCGGATATTTTCGATGGAAGAAGCAACAATCTAGCATCCAATTCGACGTCAGGAAACATTTGTGAAGCCGAATTATTTACGAAAGAGAGTGTCGATGAAAAGAATCGATCAATGTAGATAGTACCTATTGAAAAGTGACGCGAGATTTGTTTTCCGTACTGAGGACCAATTCTACCGACGCCAGGGAGGCAGCTTCCACACCTGGACTCTACCAATCGACCCATCAACGAAACCGGGGACCAACGGCTTTACTTCCCAAAGGAAGGCGTGATCAGAGATGTTATGCCTTAGAACATGCCGGAGGCGCCGACTGAGATTGGACCCAAGCCTGCTGGGGTGAGAGGTAATCACGCTAACCACGGGCGCCAATATCTTTCAAGGTGATATCACGGCGAATGAGATCGACCCAAATTTGAGTTAAGTTATCTCAGAAATAAGAAATAAAGTGCAGGAACTCAGCGATGAGTAAATTTGCCTCATGTTTTCCCAGGTTTTTCCAGGGAAAAATTTCTGAATTTGAGAAAAGTAAAAATTGGATTCACTCAGTCCGAGACTGAATAAAATTTTCGTCAATTTCCTCATTTTCTGGCAGATTTTTAAGCTTTTCCACAGGAAACCATGAGACAAATTTACTCATCGCTAAGTTCCTGCACTATTGGCGACTATGAGTGAACTAAACTCAAATTGGGGTCGTTCTCATTCGCCGTGTACGCAAAAGGAAAAGAGCCAGCGTCGCTACTTGATAGCAAACTACTCATAATGGGAGGAGTCTTTGTAGCTTTTATACCACTAAGTTGCACATCATTCTGCTTTAACCTGAAAAGACATAAAAGAGCGCTGCTGTATGGCATTAGCTCACCGATCCCACCAAGGTGGTCATTCTCTAAAACAGGCCTGATAGGACTAGGTACTTTAAATAATAATTAAAATCTCAAATGTACTAAAGTTGAAAAGACGCATCTGTGTCACTTAAAAATTCATACATGTAAACACAAGAAATAAAGATCATTTAAAGAAAAAAAAAAGGTATTAGCTCATTTTCGCTTCGGACGGCGTGGTGAACAGCAATAGCAGCAGTAGGAAGGTGGTGGCTAGTCCACTCTTCTATAACCCAACAAGCAACAATTGACTGGTCGTGGCAAAGGAGTTGCCAAGCGTCATCACAAAGTTCTTCGAGATAACCGCCATCGGTCGTCTGGCTCGCCGTGGTGGTGCCAAACGTTTTTCCGGTCTGATCTACGAGGTGTGCTGAAGGTGTTCCTGGAAAATAAGATCCAAGATGCTGTCACCTACACTAAACACCCCAAGCGTAAGTGGCCATGGATGTCCTCTTCAATAAAACGGCCCTTTTCAGGGCCATCAAGCTTACATCAGTAAAGAGTTGGAATAGAATTTATCTGTGCTTGTTTGTCCATATTTAGAACCACAAGCCCCCAACGACCACACAAAATGCTCTCCAGAGTTGTAATCTTGTAACCAACCTTGGAAGCAGGGGTGCAAGTGATTTTGATTGATTCTCTTGAAAAAATTTACTACAAATTTGGTACGCCTACAATTCAAAAACGGAAAGAGTTGAGATAATAGATAATTGATCAATTAAAAGAACTAAATGCTCTTCACATTTATTCTGTCCACTACCGGTCCTACGTCAAGCTTCCGTTCGTGCCCCTAGGTACAGACCCTTCTACTTTTTTTTTTTCGGTACAGTAACCGCGCCGTATCTGTTAAGTGAAAACCCGAAATTTACGCTCGTGTTTCATCCTCGTATAAATCAAAGACTCCTGAAAAAAATCACCTGGAGTTCTCTTGAAATTTGTTTGGAATTGCTATAGGATATTCTTTTCAGTTCTGCTCAGAATTCTTGAATTATTTCAGAGTTCTCTTTGAATTTCTCCTAAGAATTCACTTGCAGCTCTCTTCAAATTTGTTTAAGATTTCTCCTCCAAGTTTACTTGCCATTACGTGATATTGGAGCAAAATATCATACTTGATATTGATTTTACAAGCTCCTTTGATATTGCGAAACTATTCACAACGAGGTAAAGTTGAAGCTGAGAGTTGAATCGACGCAAAAATGATTCTGTTGCACTTCGTTTTCTGAGAAACAGAAGGTATAATAATGCAATCTCCTTTTTCTCTTCACCGATGGTAGACACGAAGCGACCGCAGGAAGTTTCGGTTGCGTTCGGGTGCAAAGAAAAAATCATGAAACTCAACCTCTCCACAGTTTGGTGAGATTTGCAGCTGGTGAGTTTTGTTAGCTTGATATTCCTACCGCTGATATTTTCCCAACACTGCTAAGGACTATTTTAGTATTTTGCATAGGTTTTACAATGAATCTAGAGTTCCTCAGAAGTACCTTGAGAGAAGATTTCACCGGATGTTTTTGTCACGTTCTTCATAGAACTCTCTAGGAATGAGTTGTGTGTGTGTGTGTGTGTGTGTGTGTGTGTGTGTGTGTGTGCGTGTGTGTGTGTGTGTGTGTGTGTGTGTGTGTGTGTGTGTGTGTGTGTGTGTGTGTGTGTGTGTGTGTGTGTGTGTGTGTGTGTGTATGTGTGTCAACATCTATCCCTCACCCAGCCGGGGGCGTTGGACAAGTAGAACTGCAAATAATTTGATCAAATCTCATGCTCCGTAATGGCGTCCTTTATGTTGTGAAGACTACCCAACAAACAATTTGGGCTGATTAAAGACTGGATAAGCCATTTTTATGCTGAAGAAGCTTATTTTTGCCTGAATAAGCTCTTATTCAGCTTCCAATGTTTGTTGGGTAGTACTTTAAAAAGGGTAACTTTTGAGGCAAGACAGGGTGTCCTCAACAAGTTAAGGGAACAAGATGCACTAGATGTCCACAACAGGTACAGCAAAACATCACATAGACGCCCTTATTCACACTAACTACTCAGGGGGTAGAAGGTCAAGAAGAGCCACCGCCGCCAACTAAAGCTTGAACCGGGTACCTGGCACTCCCACGATATACCCGCGGCAATGGTCAGTAGACGATGCCCTGTCCGTATTTAGTATGTAATATGTTTTATTTGGATACACACAATGTTTGAAGCCATGCGTCATCTAAACCATAATTTGCATCACCACAAATACACTTGTCAACAATCTTCAACTGGAACGTACTCACCAAATCACTTCACCCGGGACTCGGGAGCGCATTCCCGATGCTTCCACGCATATTTTTCTCTAGTCATCTCTAAACAATTCCTCCTCCAGCGACTCCAACCACACAACAAGAACTCCCTAGGAATGAGTTCCTTCAAAATTCGAATCCAATTCCATTAGCCGTTTTGCTTGAATAGTTAATATATTCTAATATATAGTTAAATCTGTTGTCCTTAGTTCAATACCCAACATCGGTAATATTTTTAATTGTAGCAGATTCTTGAAAGTGACTCAAATAATAATATTTTTTTTTAACAAGAATTGAAAAAAACCTCTTTGCCAAATAAGTTACCCTTCCCGTCTTAAAGACCCTCATCAGAACTTACAAACACTGATTGCTCAGCAGTTTATATTGAAAAACGCGTAATAAATTGTAAATGGTTAATATTCTCAAATAACATTTTAGATTATATTGGACATTAGTAAATTTATATAGATCAGATAGATTCGTAATGGTAAATTTAGTAAACTTTTTCCTAAAGTAATGCTTAAACTTCTTAGGTCAGCATTTGATAAAATAGTGAGAAAAAATAAATCAATTGGCATAAAAAAAAAAAAAACTTGCGCTTCGAGCCCTGACATGTAAACAGGTGTACGGTAGGGTGGGGCTTATTTTTCAAAATCGTTCAAGGACATGTTTTCGCAAATGGAAAATTATTATTGGGATTGTTTTTTTTCCTCTGTTCGGGACATAACACCACTGCCAGTAATTTGATCTTTTGTAGTATATCCCGTGACCTTAGTTTAGTGAAAGTCGTATTGCTCTATCACTACTGATAATTGAAGAAGTATTCGATTTTCTTAAAGTTGTCATTCTTGCATTTATCACTCTAATTGAAAGGTGTCGCTTTTATACTCTTCGGAGTGTTGAAACACCCTCCAAAGGCGCGCCCCTTTGTCAGTCCAAATTGGAATTCCTTAGCAACAAAATTAAGCAATGACGCCGATAATGACCATGCATCAGAACCCTAGTCTTAACCACTTCAATCTAGGGAACAACGAATAGAAGATTAGGAATCATAAAGATGAAGACTTACTATCTCAGTTTTTCCTTGTTTCAAGATAATCCTCGGTGGACAAATCCAAGTGTTGTCACTATCAACAAGGCATAACAAGTAACAAGGACTAAGATGTGTTTCTTTGATTACTGAAAAATCCTGTTCCTCCAGTTCGAAGTTGCCAGGACTAGGAATCAGTATAGGTAGATCGATTTATTGGATTCTGATGCCTCACCGTTTAAAAATGTGTTGTGCAATTCTGTTGTCTATCATTTTGCAAGAATCAATTTCATAATACTACCCCGTCCCGTGGTTAAGTCCAAATGGTACAATATGTCATTTCAAACTGCTCAAATGATGTGATGCATTGCCCTATTAAGAAATCTTACTAAACATACCAAGTGTGTGCTGTCGGTAAATTTGCAAACGTTGGTGCTGCCGTTATCTGGAATCGTGGATTCAGTTCCTTAAAATAAAAACAAATTGAGAAACGTTGAATTTATTGTCAAGTTGCAAACAAGCTTCATTCTGCCTATTTTTACCTGGAAGCCTCCCGGCGGTAACTGTGAGCATCCCGTCGTGAACTGCAGTAACCGCGCCATTTCAGTTTGGGAAAAGTTGCCTACCGCTGCCCAGAACCACCCCAGCACCCTTCGGAACTCCGGCGAGCCTCCGTTCACGATGTGGTTGGCCCGGAAATCGGCTATCGAATACTCCCCGGTGCCACAAAGCAATAGCTGTGAATAATTGGAAATAGATTATTTTATATTTTGCATAATTGCACCCAATCACCTCTAATTCGTTTTCATCAAATATGCTCAGCAGATTATCCGGAATGACTCCGTTCAGTCCCTTCAGAAAGCTATCAATCTCCTCTCGTACGTTGTTGCACAGCCGCTGCTGTGCCAAGGCATCCAAATATTGGTTCTTGGTCGCGTTTGTGACCCTCGTTTTGGCCCCATTCGGAATGAGCTCGACGGTTTTCACCAGCTGACCACCCGTATCGTAAATTTCTTCCACAAAGTAAAGCTCCAGATTCTCGCTGTTGTCCAGGTCCGTATCCAAGATGTACTTGATCTTAGATAAATACAGATCCGGGTCGTCCTGTTCAAAGTACTTGTAGTGCACTCGGAGCCCGATTAGCTGTGCCAGGAACGAACGGGAAAATCGCGCCCTCACCAGTTGCCGGTAGGTTCCTCCGAGGGCACTTTCATATAGACATTTTCCGACAACCTTTCCGGCAAATTCAAAGTGTTTCAACTTAAGATGCGTAGGTCGATTTGGATTAGGATGTACGAGTGCTTGTCTTTTATCGTGGAATGTACAGAAGAGACCCCCGCGGGGATCAAACAGGGCACTGCAGATTAGTTCAAACCACTCGCGCCGCAGTCCTCCCCAATCGATGCCTGAACGGATGGGAAAATATTGGTTTACTTCTAATGGTATACTGATTTCACGCAACCTACCCTGTTCGCCTTGGAATGTAACCTCAAAGTTGCCGCACCAATCCGACACGGAGAAGTGCTTGGTCGCTTTCATGCTGGATTCGAGGATCTTGTCCCGTTGTACTTTGACTGAAATCTTCTCATGGTAGTAGTTGGAATGGAACTTGCGCACCTGTAACGAGTAAGAACAGAAATGAACTCCCATAAGAATGTCATGTGCCGTGGTTCCAGATTGAGCGTACGAGTCTCACTTCGTGGTAGAAAAAGTCCTGCTTATCTTTGAACGTCTCCGAGCCACCAATGTTCTTCAGCAGGAAATGGGTGAAGGTTGCCGCGATTACATTGCGCTCCTTGGATGCCAGTTCAATCTTCGGTTGACAACCGTCGTCGATGATGAAGATCGCTCCGTGGCTGTTATTCACCTGGATATTGGACGGTGGTAGGAAGTGGAACTGAAATGAAAGGAAATTTGGCATTGTTTTTCATGGTTCTACTATAGGTTCACGAGCAGATGATCTTACTTTGGTAGAAGGGCACAACCGAAAAGTGGCGATCCGCTTGGGAATGATTTTGAGGATCATTTCTTTAATGGTAACCTGCTTTGGTCCAACGTAGCAAAGCACCTTCCGTGGTTTGGTCCACCGTTGTTGGCCAAAAACGCCGAATAGTTTTGCTTCGTAGCAAATGTTGTGCTTCCTGGAAGCAATATTCTTATGCACCAGCGTCGTGTCGCTGCTGCTCAGGACGATAATATCAAATTCTCCGTTCGGGATCGGATGCGTTTCGTAGCTTATGACAGCCCGTAGGCACACAGGTTCCGGGAACAGAGCGGTAAGGCTGATTCTCGAGTTGACCTTATCGTAGGAAAGTGTGATCGCATTGCAGTACTTATCACTATGGTTACCGTAGAGATCGAAAATGTCGATCTTGTAGCCCTTGATGGGATCACACTCGGGCGTGAACTGACACGTATTGCCGTGCTCATCACGTGGTTCGATGTGCAGGAATGTTGGTGCCCCGGCGCAGCAGACTACGGTACTCGCCGGTCGGATCAGTCGTGATCGACGGGCGTCCATTGGACCTGGAATAAAGGTTTTCAGGAAGGGACTGCCGGCAATGTGACTCGATCCGATCAGCACCGAGATTTTGTACTGTCCAGCCGTTCGGACGGTGAATTTGACCTTGGCAATGTTTGCGTTGTTTGGATCGGTTGGTGATCCTAACTCACTGATGGTGATGATCTTACGGGTACCTTCGGTCACTTCCACGAAGAACTGGTCTGTATCACAGATAGGGTAGGCTTGACCGTTCCGTTGATGGAATCGCACCGTAAAGCACATGGTTCCACCGACGATGGCCGGATCTTGCCAGTCCCAGTGGACTTTGCAGTTGGCCGGTAGCAGATACTTGCCAGTTACGTACTGTAGCAGGGAATGTCGTGCTTCCGGTGCCAACGAAGGCTGCGTCATGGCGGCCAGGGTCACCAGACCGGCCACCGACACGGAGACCACCAACATTCCACCCCATGTCCAAGCGTCCTGGTGCTGGCTGGACTTGACCACGGTTGACCAAAGATCGGCCTTCAAAGCTTCCAGGTTGGATTTGGACGTGGGCAGCTTCTGGCGTGCTTGGGACCAGCCGGACCAATCTTTGCCCAGTATTTGACTGGCACGGGAGTCCTCGAGCCAGTAGACGTCCTCGAGCGATGTGACCTCGATGGTAACCAGTCTGAAAGGAAAAGGATCATGAATCATGAATATTAGTTTGTTTTAGCAGAGTTTAGACCTTTTTGCATTTTATATTAAATTAATTAAAGTCTATTACCGAATAAAAATCATACGTACTGGAGCCACATATAGTTTCTGAAGAATAAATTATATATCATCTCAAAAAGGATTCTTTACCTTCAAATTACTGCAATATATAAAGATAAGAATCGTTTGCTGAAGTGTACAACAGCTGAATACAAATGCAAAAAAACCATACAATTCGTAGATGCTATTGACCAGATCCAACGAAATTTGCACAACGAATGAAATGAACGGCGCTTGAGATTAGCCATCCATTTTTTGTGCGCAAGCTCCGGCGAATCAGTACTTTTAAGATCAATAACAGTCACCAGCCATGTCCTCGAGAGAGGACATCTGTCATTACTAGAAACCGAGTATACCTCTTAATATTCACGGTTTTCATGGGAATGATATTTTGGTAAGTTGGAAGGACAAATTCACTGTCATGTAAATCCTGAGGAGCACATGATGCGTCACTATCAATTCAATATTGTAAAGGGAGCTGGTAGTGAACTCAAAATTGTCTGTTTAAAATGCAGAAACGGTCACCATCAGACCACCGAGCCCCGTACATCACAGAAAACCACTGCGATTGATGATCGTTTTAGACCAACAATACAAAGCCTTTAAAATAAAATGGCGATTGATGATACAATGTGTTCTAACAGTACAGCGTCACATTTTTACCGAAAATATTTTTATTCCGTGCATCTCCGAAAGAGTTCGATCCGCAGTGGTTTTGGAGGCACTCTTATTCAAACAAACTTATATAATAGGATGGAGCCTAAAAGATTCACTGCTCTGCATGCAAAAACGGTCGCTCTTTACATCACAACTAACCTCTATGAACGAAGTAGCTATTTAAAAGGAATCTAAAGTGGTTATCAGTGCAAGAATTACTTGGTGATCGGAACCACTGGTTGGCAGCGGTCCATGATGAACTGGAATAGATGACCGGACATTTGTTTGCCAGTAGGGTATCTCGGACGATTTCAGCAGCAACCAGAATAACCACATTGGACTGCTTTGAAACGAGTGGTGAGGTACATGAAAGGTACAATGAATATGCTTTTGGAATATTCTCGTGGATTTGACGCAGTCTTGGCAACGGATACCATGGGTTGAAAGTCGGTGAGTGGGTTCTTATTCCAGTTAAATGGAAACACAGTCTCGTGGTCAAGCAAGAAGCAAACAATGGTGGCCACCTTCTCCAGTGAAGCTGAATACGTAGCGTTGAGCGCTGATGTGGCATAATCAATTTGGCTATCTGGACTCTTGTGCGATCTGGGTGCGAAAATATCAAAACCTGTGACCATCTATTAAGACAACCCTGGCTGTATAGGAATGGCCCAAAACTTGGAGTGTAAACGAGCAAAACACTTCGACATCAAGCATCATTTTATTCGTGACCACATCGCAGCAGGACGTGTACGGGTGGAACCTGTTAGGACTGAAAAACAATTGGCAAATATTTTCACGAAAGCTTTGGACGTTGGAAGATACGAAAATCTACTCCGAACTATTGGACTCCACAATCGGGAGGGAGTGAAGAAGTAGGCTTTGAAAAACCGACAAGTGCTTGTGGAAGATCAAAAGCTGGCATTCCCAAACTAGCTCCTAAGCTGTAAAGACAACATTCAGAATCTAATAAACGTTAGTTGTAGTTCTAATGACTGTGTCCTTGCCTGTCTGTCCATTTGCCTAGTCCATATATTAAAATAATATTTAGCATTGAATTTTACCATACAAATGAGCAGACCAGAAGGTCCCGAAGAAACGAGCTCAACTTTTTTGCTCAGCTCTGGTACTATCTTCGGTCCCAAACTAATCGATACACCCCTCGAAACATAGGAAAATCCACGAACCCCTCATTTTTTTTAGTGTAGTACTGGAATTTATACTAGAATGGGGTGCGTTTATCGATTTGCTTGGGACCAATAGGCTAGTCAAGTAGTGAGCCATTTTAAAATCGTTAGTTTCAAATTGATTGTTGATTTTACTGCCTACTGAATATCAAATATTAATGTTTTTTCTTTTAAATTGTTATCCAATTCCTCCCCCATTATGCTTTAATTTTGAACTTATTGTCAAGATTTAGGTTAATGGTATTAATTAAAGAATGTTATATCAACCGGTCAGTGTGCTTTTTCAGTTACCGTTGCGACATAATTTGCGATCAGCTGCGATCTCTTTCAAATTGGCTCATTATTTACAAACGGCCTAATGATGTCCGATTTTTAATCGATTAACGAACCGAGCAGTAACATATTTGTAATCACTTATATAATGCCAAGTAAGGATTAGCTTCTCCAGAGAATTATCATCCATCGCTTTAAACATGTTCTGCACTCTCATTGGTGGAAAAATGACGGCACAGCGAACAAAAACTAATCCACTAATTAATAAATGGGACATCACTGATTTTTGATGTGATTGTTTTGATACAAATAGTATTAAATGTCAACTCTACCGAGGGGGCAGCAAAAGCACAAAAACACCTTGCGGGGACTTAAAAGAGGACCGCGAAAGAGGACACTAAAATTGATAGTTAATTCTTCCGACTGTTTCATTTTAGCATTCTTCTTTTTCATCTTAGCATTTAAAATTGTATTTATCTCTTAGAATTCAACTTTTTTGACGTAAGACTACGTCTGTGATTTCTATATGGGGGTACACTTTGTGAATACCGAAAATGGAACGTGTAACAAAATTATGAAAGATTTTGAAACGTTTATAACTCAGCTGTCCCTTGACCAATATCAATAATTGTATCACAATTCGATCAGAAATATTTCTACACATTTTAGGACCTTATCATTTTTCAAAATGTCACTATTCAAAATTGTATAAATGAGCAACTGTTGCTATGATAATTAACATTATCACCGATTGCCTGCGAAAAGCGATTTCCCTAATACAGCGCGTGGTAAGTGGTGGCTTTCTCCAGTACACAACGAAAGGCTGCCTGCAAGCAGATAGCTATCAAGGCTGGCCTCAACCGCTGATCGGATTCAGTTCCAATCACCGAGTGTGGTGGTGTCCGGTCGTCGGCATCAGCTGCAGCAGCAGCAGTGCTTTCGGCGTTGAACATTGTTCTCCAGTACACAACGAAAGCTGGAGCCCACATGAGTATCCATAGAAGAAGGAAGAAGCCGCACCGCTATTGATCGGAATCAGTAGTTCCTCGTAGCAGTAGCTGTGGGCCATCTATGCCAAGCTCGTCACCCTCATTCCAAACAACATACAGCCTCTTCTGTGTTCAACACCCTAATAGCTCAACCATCACGACAAAACGGTCCTTTTCAGGGCCACAATAAATTTGTAAAAGAGTATTTTTTGGACATTTGTCAAGGTCATCAATTGGATGTATCAAGATAGAGCTGGAATTAGGGCGTAACAGCTTTTGTAAACACTGACTTCTTTCGATGATGTCTTGAAAGTCAAGTTTCACCCACGCAAATCAACATCACTATCAGGTAGGGTAAGACTTCCCCTACCCGGCGGTAATGTTGGTTTGCGTTGGCGTGCCTTGAATTCCTAAAAATCATCGAGAGAAGTCATTTTTTACTAAATCTGTTACGCCTTATTCCAGTTTTATCTAGATATGTCTAAATCTAACATACCATGTTCTTGAAGGCAACATTGGAGGTGCAATTCCAAAAACCAAAGACGGTCACGGCGTGAAAGTGGTCTGATTTTGAGCCAGAGATGATGGATTTTAATTCTTAATACGCCAATCGATAGGAATTTTTTCTACGAATCTGTTAAAAGTAAGACTTTATAAATTTTCAAAATGTCACTATTGAAAATTGCAGGAATGTGAAACTGTTGCTATGATAATCAAAATTATCACCGATTGGCTGCGAAAAGCGATTTCCCTAACACAGATTTCAAAGTTGAATTCCACCCGGTTTCACCAAACGGTGTTTATTTAAAAGCCCACATGAGCATCCATAGAAGGAGGGAGAAACCGATCCGCTATAGTTCCTTGTGAGTCGCTGGGGCTCATATATGTCAAGCGCGTCATACTAAAGAGTATAAACAGAGAGAACCCCGCTCAAATTCCTATTCCTACACAAAACATAAGCTCCTGCTGCAGTTAACAAATAAGATTTAATACATAAGACCACGTAATCGTACGTCACCATTGCGTACAACCCCATAGGACCCTTGTAGTTTTTTAAAGTTGCTGTAGCACAGTAAATCATGTTTCAGCATATTCCGCATGAGACTGCCTGAATGCGCAGGCATGGTTCAGAGTTTCAGAAACATAATAGCAGTATAGAAGTAAACATAGAAATCACTTTTTACGCATAGAACTTACAACCAACGCTTACTTTTCCCCAACTACTTCTGGAGCGTTTTTACAGGCTACTGTGACTTTTCTCTCGTTCCTGACCTGCTAGCAAGTGACGCGCGTGGAGACCACAAGCGAAGCAGCGGTTAGTGAAATGAAAACAATTAGGGTAGAACAGGCCAAAATGCACCCCGGGGCAAAACGCCCGATGTTTTGTGCAGAAATGTTAGTTAAGGCACTGAACTAGCAATGCTGCTTGTCAAATTAATAAAATAAAAACGGGAAAGCGCATCGGGCGTTTTGTTCTGGGGTGCTTTTTGAACTGTCTTCACCTACCGGGTACGACGTCGTAATGAACAATTCTGCTTCTTGTAACCGACACAAGCGGAGATGTGTGTTGCTGTGTGTGTGTGTGTGGAGAACGTTTGTAAGCGGGAGCTTATGTGAACAATGTGAAAATTTCATGCAAGGTTACAAGACAATGAATGGGTGTCTTCCGCCTGCTTCCTTTTTGCAGCCATCCATATGCCATGTTTGTGTTCTGCGGGTTTCCTTTTTTTGTTTTCTTGCATGTGCACTTTACAATGCGGCAATGGGTGTCGGGTGAATTTTGGATGGAGGTTAGGTAGGGGTGGGAGTAGGTGTTCCTGTGATGATCGTGGTGATGATGACAGGATGGACTTGTAGGGCAAGCAATTTTGATGCATTTGCATAGTCATTTTCCAACGCGGGATGATTTAAGGGAGGGGCCGCAGTTTGATTGATAGTAATTTCTAAAGGAAGTTGTGACCTCAATGCGATGGTGTATTGTATACATCAGAACGCGATCAAAGTAGGCACGAGATCATTGATTATTTTAAGCCCTGGCTAGACAAGAGAGTTCTTATTAGATATGTGCTCAGGCTGTCTTGATTGTATTTTTCATGTTGATAATTATTAGTAATTTCCCGACAGTCCTCACCTAGAGTAATGATGCTGCAGTCGGTGCTCTTTCAGCCATTCACGTAAGATCAGCTTTTGTTGCAGGTTGAGGGCAGCACGTTGCAGGCGTTGTTCATCTCCAGGTGGCAGCTCGGGAAGGCGATCTGGATCACCGCAACTGGAGAGGGACGAGATTCCTGGAAGATAACAGAAAATAAAGAATTATAATTAGTCCCACCGCAGTCTTTTAGTGGTGTATTAAGCGAGCTATGTCGAAAGATTACGCGTATACATACACGCTTATTTGACCTAGATCCCGTGTGGTTACGTAAACAATGTTCTAATTACAAAGGTCGAATGTGGGCGTTACATCTCATGTTTATGTAGATTGAGTGCGTTGTGGTTTGCTATGTTCGGAAGGTGGAAAAGGGCTCTGCAGAATCTCTGCGGTCAAAGCAGCAGCACAACTAGTGCAGGAACACGCGTCACCATGTATCATAGGACGAGGCTGAAGCTTTTTGTTCCCCGTTGATATGGTTATTGCTGTACAATTTAATTTACGCTATAATAGCTACTAGAGAGAGAGTCTAGTATAAGAGAGGAGCGGAATGGCTGGTTTTGAGCCAAATGAACTGTCAAAGGCAGATTACATTGGCAGTGTTGCTAGAAATCATCTAGGTGTAGGTTGCCAAGACAGTTTGTTTTGAATTCGCTCCTCTCTTGTACTAGACCCTCTCTAACAGCTACCGTCCCATGCGATAGTGCATACGAGTAAGTGGTGATCGTAGTAGCCTAGTCCAGTAGTGAACATACGCGTTGCTATGAAAATAGCCATCAACGAAAGCTTTTTTTAATTGTCATTTGGTATTTTTTATACCCTGAATGCGCGTTCAGTGGATGAGTCAAAATAGTGCAATCGCATAAATATAGACAAAAAAAATGTTTGCTCTTGTTTCACAACTGCAACTACACCCTCACAAATATAACCAGAACCGCATCCCATTGAATTTAATCCATGCACTGCTGCAATGCAACAAACTGGAGTGAAAATTGCTTAACCGTACGAAGGAGCTGAAGGAGAAAACAAGTGTGTAACATTTTATATTTTATGACCGGTATTAAATGCACGCTACTCATTAAATTTCGAGCGCCACGTGAGAACACATTTACGCATAGCCTACTGGTTCGTGTATCGAGGGGCGATTTTAATTGTTATGGTTATGAATACTACTATAACACCCCGCTTGCTGCGAATGTATGCCCAGGCATGCAACTGGAGTATTTTCCTTATTTCTGCTCTCCCTTTTCCTGTACTAATTGCAAGTATGCAAATACGGCAGCTCCCTAATCCTTCAAAATGCACTCTCTGGCGTGTGTTGAAAGTCAATCATACATTGTTATGAAGCCATGCACCAATGTATTCGGTTCACTTTCTTATGACAAGTGTGTTGGCTATTCTGAAGCAGGAAATTTATCCCTAGGATATGAAGCATGAGCTGTACGGTTATCACGCAACATTTAAATAATGACTTTTTAGTGTCACGGATTTCTCTAACATATATATAAGCGTATTTATGCCAGCAAAAACTGGAATTGTAATGCCATTATACATATCTGCCCACTCAGCTGGTTGTCAAAACCCACTCAGCAGTTTCCAAAATCGGCTCCCAGATCCCATTATTGGTTGATGACTTTCTGGTTTGGCATGGTGTCAAAAACGACTCTCTGCACTAATCTATTCTGCACGGTCTGCCACGCCTTGTGTGGCTCGAACCGTAGCCTCCTTAGCGTTGGGATGTGACACCGCTCTTCAGCCCACGATGACGATGGCTGCGACATCGGCACTCTATTTATCCAAAGTTGAATGTGGTTATGTTGGTGGCGTTTGGTGGAGGCTAGCGTTGGCATTTCCGCACAATCAAGTTTAAAGAGCATCCGAACTGATAGTGATTAAATAGAAAATATACAGTTCCGGAGGGTAATTTCCACTAAATTGAGATACAGTAGGATGCGTTGGCAGTTACCATGGTGCCGGTATTGCTCTCTGTGCATCCTGTGGTGCAGTTTTTCCGAGTTCCGACATCTGCCCTGGCTTGCTAGATTCGTGTTGAAGTGAGTGAGTGTTTGGAAAAATATTGAAGGCCGCATTGACACTGGCTACGTAGGTACTACGGAGAATATGGTCAGGATATTGGTATTTGTTCAAGCTTTTGCATTAATCCAACTGCAGTGTCGTGTGAGATCGAAAGAGATGAAATGAGGCAGAAGGTGAATGTCAGTTTGGGCTTTCTGCACCATTTGTGCAGTTATGGGATTTTAATATATCTAACTATATTGGGGATTGGGACCATCAGGACATCACACTTAAGCGATTTGGTAGGGGAGAGTAAGATTTTGAACTCTCTGTTGTTAACATTTGTTAAATCATTTGTGCGAAATTAATTTTGCTGAATCAACCAAGTTTTTACCTCATTTGGTTGAAAAGTTATGACCGGTTCACGTTAAAAACTACACCCTTTTTAAATGTTAATTATTATCGAGACAAGCAAAAAAGGTTATTGTAGTTTTTACGCTAAATATGAATGAAAGTACGATGTTTTAAATGCATTTAATAGCATTAATATCCACTGGCTCCTTTTTTAAATAATAACACTTGAAAATGCCATATTTTTCACCAAAAAAATTAATTATAACTTTCCAACGGAATGAGAAAGCAACATGGTTACTTTAGCAAAAACATCTATCTAAAATTTAAAAAGCGTCTAGAACAAATAATTTATGAGAAATCAATGTATAATAGGAAATAAAAAAATAACTGATTTCTAGGGGTCACCCTATGCTTCTTTTTATAACCAGTATAAAACAAGAACCATTTAGAGATAGGCAACTTGTATCTTCAGCAAAGTTGCTTCAAAATAATTATTCTAAAAATAAGAGATGAACTAGCCTTTGGCTAAAAATCTCTCTAATAAAGAAAAAAAAAATATTCTAAAACTTTGTTAAAATTATGCTGGTCCAACTAAATTAATTAAATTTGAAAAATATAAATTCAATAACCGTACGGACTATCTTAATTTTACTTGCACCAAATGAATGACCCTTTATCAAAAACTTTTCCAAAGACACGAGTTACCTATAAGTACCTATAATAATTTGAATCTTTACAAGCTGAGTGATTTCATGATAAGAGAAAAGTAGGCGTTGCTTAGCAATGCAAGAAGAAAAAACGATTGTGAAAAAAGCAGTAACTGCAACAAATGTTGTACTTGAATAGACGTTTGAAGTTAAATGAAGTGGAATTACATGTCTTTAAAATTCTGAACAGCAAGGGAAGCTTTCCCTGCAGGTGAAGCCCGGTGTTCCTCTATTAAATAAACAAACTCTGAGAGTTAGATGGCGACGCTCTGCCTATGCTCTAATAATCCATCTACAGAACACAAGTTTTCCGTAAATTTAGATATGGGAAATGGCTCTAATTTTGGCCTATGGAGTTAAAGATTGGGCCCATCGATAATAATATCCTGTTTGTCTGTAACAGGTAACGAACAGGTAAATAGATCTTTACTTTGTACCGTGTGGCACCAAAATCCGTATACCTATGAAATGAATCGAAATCTGTTCACCACATACAGGGTAGCTATGGAATTTCCATTTTGAAATTCCCAGGTTTTTCCCGGTTTCCCGATTCAAATCCCAAAAAATTCCCCAAAACGGATGTTTCAATGAATACACACAAATAACAATGCAAGTTTTATCACGATTTCAAATCATGCTACAAGTCTCAATCATAGTCTGCAGAACCCTAATAATACCCCAATTGCTGCTTGGGCATTGTTTTTAAACGGTACAAAGAGCACCAAAGTTATTTGTGGACAAAAAAAAACTTTGCTCGAGACCTCTTATGACCTACTTCTTGGAGCAAATAGTTTTGTAGCGAGTAAATTTGAGTAACTCTGAATTACTCAAAACTGATCAAAGTAGTCTTGCCTTTGTCAAGAAATGCTGTGAAAATTTTCACATAATTCATTGTCATCGTGTCTGTGTTGGAATATACTTTCTTCAACATTGAATAGGCATCTATCATTTTTGTCAATAAATATTTGATGAAACTGTTAAGATCAACGATTAATTTTTTTATCTAATACAGCACAACATTCTCACAAGCTCTCACCTCATACAACCTATCGATGATGCTGTATGAAGCATCGATAGATTCTGCAATTTCACGAATTGAAATTCCATTTTCATTTGGTATTGGAAATTTCCAGATGACAGTTGAGAAATGCACAGCAAAAATCAGGTTGCTGCGAGTTTTGAACATTGAGCAACATGAGTTACTCAAAATCAACTTAAAAATCTACCGTTAGCTGTCTTGCCCTTTGTAAAATAGAGTAGATTTGCATACTTGAAACTTGAAATTAACCCATAAAGGACGAAAAAAATTTATTTCCCTTATGAATTTTACTCCTTTGCATCTATAGTTGCAGTAGTGTTCCTATAATAGTAGAATCCAATGCGTTCCACTGTTGTAGGAATAAAAGTTAGCAACTGCCATAACTACTGGAACATTGTTCCTATTAAAGGAGGATGAGTAAAACGTATACAATTTAATCATAGTGTAATATTTTTCTAGCAAAATAGAGTTTGAATACTTTTTTCGTCGATTTCTCCTTTTAATTCTACTACTTTTGTATCACTTTCACTTTCACTATTTCGCTTTCAATCTTTACTTTCACTATCACTTCCATAACAGATACGTATTTCGTTTACTACTTGCAAAATTCTTCAGTGTCTAGTCATAGACATTATATACAGGATCGCAGTAGGCCGCGCTAGAAAGCTGACGTGTTTTTCTTTTGCTGCGTATTTTTCGTCAGCGAATTAAACATTGTTTGCTTTAAATTTGTTCATTTGTGTGCTGAAATTTAGTTTCAAGTGTTCATAAAGTTATCATTTAGTGATATATCGTGTGTTGCCTGTGTTTGCCTTGAGTGAGTCGGTTGACCTTGAATCTAACCTCCAAAATCTTCAGTTCCATTGTTCGGTGTCGGTTTATTATTGCCTCCCGGGAGCCCGGTTTTGTGAGTTCGGATGCCACACTTTCGGCGTGTAGTTCTGTTCTATTGAGAGATTCGTCACCGTGGGCGAGAGTGAACCCGGCCCGGCTGGTGAGTTAGCCCGGGAACGTGCTGATAAT